ATTTCCTAGCAGATGTTTTGGAAATTACGAGGTGCTGCTCGACATACTCACGATAGTTTTTTTGTTTGTTCACATAGTCTCTAGGAACGCGCTTTGGTTTCGGGCGAGCTATGGCTTCAGGCGCACTTTAGCCTCAGTCCGGGTAGTTTAGCTTTTTCAGGAAACACTTCGGCCACAGGAGTGTTCGGGGGTCTTCAAGTTGGAGGAGTGTATCCACCGGAAGGGAGGCAGGAAGGCTGCCGGTGGAAGGAAACAAGAAAGGCAGTAAGGAAGGCCGGAGCCCACGGGTAACACAACTTTGTCTTTCCTCCGTTAGCTCTTCTTGTTTGCTAGTGCGCGGGAGACGTACCTGGGGGGTTAGGACTTTGTTGTATTGTGGTTGATATATACTCCTGTCTTTACCGTTAGTTTAGCATGCGCGATAGTGAGAGGTAGACGAAGTGAAGAGTTCTCCCTAGCCTGAGTTGTGCCATCGTTTCTTGTAGGGGGGCTTGCCATTTTGTTTTGTTTCGTGGTATTCGTTGCGTGCCATTGATTGCATTGTTTGATTGGGTGTCCTTTAGTTTCACCGCCTATCATTCTGCCAGGATAGGTTTTTTGATAGGCGGCAGCATGGTCGCTCGAGTACCAATCTCCGAGATACAGTGGTGGTGCACAATTCATCCGAGGCACTGTTTTCTGCCCTCCTTGAGGTCTGTGGGCACCCCACAAGACGGAACCTTGATCATAATTCAACACAGAACACCGGAACCCGAAGCACAAACTAAGGTATCATAAAGGGTATACCGGTGTTTATTAGTGGTATAGCTTTCAACCTCAACTGATCCTACATGCCGACTGTGAGTGCCCATTGAAGAAACCACGGTGGGGGAAAAAATTTAACTACGAACATTTCTTTTCTCCCGATCCCTTCCGTGTTCATCTCAGCCTTGTTGGCGCTTCTTGTCATTCAACAATTCGCTCCGTCCCATCTCAACTCTAATCTGCAGTATTCTTTTACGATATCGGTATCCCTATCATTTCGTGAGGTTGTTGTTAAATGTAGCTCAAGTGGCTATTGGTCAAGGTTATTGTGGCTTATATGGATTTTATGAAGGTTGCCTTCTCTCATTTTTGTCCGCCATTCTTGTTTCCCGCAAATTATTTTTTAGTTTATGAACACAGAATACCTACAGTACTCTCCCCTCAGTTGCCACGATGTCTTAGCATCCTACAAAGTGGCGGAAACCTTGGCGCAGTTATCATATTACCTCATATCAATTTGCGTCATCGGTTTCCTGTCCTGTCACCATTATTCCCCTTCTTATTCATCCTCTGCACCTTCTCGCTTGAGCTAGAGTGAAATATAGAAAGCTCCGTCTCCTGTCCTACGACCACTAGACGCTAGGGTACTGTTAGGGGAGACTGGGACTTAAGTCGGAGATGACAACAATAGTTGTCATCTAGCTTCCTGTTTATTTGTTGAAAGTTTCTATTCTTTTCTACAGATGACGATGGTGAAAACGCGGCTAGTAAAGGGTCAAGCAGAGAAACGGGGGGGGGTAGTAATACCAAGGGGGGTACGAGCATCACCGGAAATTTCCTTTCTCTCTCTCTTCTCCCATCTTGTCTTGCAGAGCAATCGTTTTCATAGATGAATAGTTTAGGGAAACAGACTCATTATGGAACAAGATTTTCTCCTTCTATTCACTTTCTGTATTGTCATCGAGATTACCATTGTTGGTAAAGTTCTTCGCATTCTGCTTTGCGGTACTTTCCCCGGCTCTTTAGTATCAACCATAACCGGAATATTTGCCCTTTGCCATAACCCACCAGAGGACACCGGGTGGAGAGGAGACATGACAGTACACCCGCAAAATCCACTATCTCCATCAGGTCCCGAGAAGGATTAACATTTTCCAGGTATAGTACCGCATATGATAAGCCCACCAAGTGTGTTGGATCTCATTAACCAGTACTCGTGTATCAGCAAATCCTGCAAACCTGCCAAGCTAGAACTATATAGTGTCCATATGGGCTACTAGATACCGTGGATTGCAAGAGATTTTGCGGTATTGCGGTTTGTATATGGTCATTTCCCGGTCGTGTCTCAATTATAGGACTCCCCTTGCATGCTTATGCCATTAGTCTATATTACCCTTCGATGTAAGTTATTTGCCGCACGAAGGTGGTAGGTTACAGCCGGTATCGTATTCGGTGACAGCATCTTAATCGGTAGAGGCCGGTCTACCTCCCCCAAGCCATATTAAGTTTGCAATACAAAGGCGATAGTACAGTCGCACCCCGCTATCCCGGATGGTGAGATTTCACAGATCTTGTCCGGAACAATGGGGGGGGAGAACCTGAGAGTTCAGCAGGCTAATTTTCTATAGGAACGGGGGATATGGTTTCCCAAAATCTAATACGAATCTGAAACCCCTTTTTCCGGTTCAACGGGGTAATTTCCATGAGGTATTAGGGGAGGCGAAGATTCTATCCAGTTCAGCGGGATCCGGGATAGCGGGGTGCGACTGTACTCGTACATTTCCAGACAAGGCAGTGGAAGATATTTGCGGCCCAGATTACTCACAGACAATGCGGAGAGACAGACTTACCATTCAACTTGAAGTTTAGCAGAAAAATTCACTCATATCTCTCATACGGTAGTAGATCTCCACGTAGTAATCAGAAATAGGGGTATTGTTATTAGGTATAAAATTTATATCTCACTTACTCGAGTTTATGGTAATATTTCCTGGCGGCGTTTTTGTTACCACCAAGACATTTCAATGCAGTCATACCTTTGTTTCGAAAGGCTTTGAGGCCCGGGCCATAATACCATCCCCGAACAGTCACGATACCCGTAGTGGATACCGGTTATCCTTGTAGCCAATGCCAAGAAGTAAACAACGGCCAAGCCAGGACCGGGGCTGTGGCAGGTGTGGCGGTGAAACATACCGGCAATCTAAATGAGGAACATCATGCGCGTGGCTGCGGACATTGGCGTGAACCGCCCGAAACTTTCGGGATGTGAAGGAATGCCTGCTGGAATAGTCCTCCGGTGGCTGCCTCGCCCACCACAGCTCAGGTCTCGCGTACAACCTGCCGTTCCATACAAGAAGGGCCACTATCCTTACGCCTACCGATTCTCGTGGGTAGCAGTTAGGGTTTTCATTATCCCTGCAAGCATTTGGCACCCCGCATCTCCCTATCTATCCCTGCTTCCCCGGTTGCCGGTACTCCACGATCACCCTCGCCTCATTACTGGATCCCTCTGTACTCGGGTGTAAGGGTAAGTGAGGCGACGTTGTACCTAAATGTCTCAGTTTATTGCCTATTCTGGGTGTCGCCCAACTTTTTTCCCACATACAAAAAAACTGGTTTGTATGGGCCCGTATGGTGGTTGCCGTGTATGGGTTTGCCCGACTAACTGCACCCCCCGAGTACATGGAGATTAACTTACTTTAGTATCTACTGGTTGGCGATGGTGGGTTGGTCGGGAGAACACAGTGCATCACCTAGCTATTTAATAGAGTACTCGCACAAAGTAAATCACTGGGGAATAGGACCTATCTTGGGAGATTTGACTATTGGTGGTTGTGCTGGGGCGATATATAAGGGGTTCAGGATCAATTCTTGAGCCTCTCATCTATCAATTGGTGCGATGATGAGGTTCTCCACGACATTCTTGTTTCCCCTTCTAAGCCTATCATACATCTCCCACGCAGCGCCAAACCCACAAAGAGAGGACGGAGGAGGCCCTCCCGACTCAAGTATCGAAAAACTACAGTAGCAACACTCGCCGACGCCCTCTCCAGAAATTTTAGGCACACCCAAAGCAGCGTGGAATCGATTTCTCGGGCAATTCCTCCCACGGGACAGACGTGGTGCGGGACCTCTCGGCGCTAACCTTAATGCTATAGGATGCAGTCACAAATTCTAGTAGCATGTTCGTCAATGCCGCCGTGTTGGAGATTGAATACCACGACTGCCCCATCCAACCTTCCGGAAAGCACATCATGTTTAGCGCCGACTACACAAAGCAATACCGTCACTCGTGATTACTAAGTTTGGAGCATGGAGGGTAAGACCTTAGTTCCCCTTGCCGAAGGACAGGCAAGAAACGTGCAGTATGCGGCGTGGAGTCCTCATGGTAATGTGGTTGCTATGCCCGGGGGAATTATTTGTTTATTTGGAAGGGGTGAGTGCTAGGGTTACCAATTATAGGAGGAGGGGAGGGGGTATTAAATAGCCTGCCGAATTAGGTTTATGACGGGGGTTTGTAATCCTTCCCCCTAAATTATTCTTGCGGGAGGATGGAATTAACGGTTTGCGCTTCTTTTTTTTTTTTAGTGAGATTTAGAAGTCTCTGGGATAGCGTTTGAGATTGTATTTATACCATTTTGTATAATACCGTATAATACGGTATAAAAACCGTATTTTATTATTAGAGACGTATTTTATTCAATGTTTCAAAATAGGTACAAGGTTACAAATATGAGCTTGTTGCTATCATAGCTAGTATTAATCCATATTGGTAGTATACCTTGGCCGCTTTGATCCTCTAGCCTGAATGTCAAGTGATTGGCCATTGTCATAATTTTGAAAAGGATTGTCACCAGTGGGTTCTTCTTCTTGGTTGATTTCAAGCCCAGTCTCTTCCCCATCTCCATCTCTCTCTAAGTTGTCAATGACTGCCACACTCTTAGGGCAAAAACTGATTTTACAACTAATTGTCATTGGGTTAGGGCTTAGGGCTTAAGATTTAGGTAAAAAAAACTTTAGGGCATGTATGTATTGTATGTATGGTATAAAATTTATTATCAAAAATACCGTATTAAATTTTTATAATAATATACGTATTTTTGAAAACCCTACTCTGGGAAGATGTATACATTGTGGCTCTCACCGGCTGGGGAGTACCTTGCGCTCCTGAGATCTGATGACTGGGAAGAATGCCTTTCACTCATATTTTCTATTGAACCAGTGTGCATGAATAGTACTAAACTAGGTAAATGTAGGTACTAACATATGCAGCGCCGTACTACATGGACGGACAACAGGTTGACCAACCCAACGCTGTAGAGCCCCGTATAGAGTATTCTAAAGCGGGGGAGAAAATCTCCACGGCTACCTTCCATCCACTTGAGTTCAACATTCCCGTCTGTCCCGAGGAGGATTGCCTTTCAGGCATATTCTCCGGATAATTTGATCATCTCTGAAGCTGCACGGGTGAGGGAGAATCATGAGCGTGTCAGCTTCTGCACGCGGAACAGGGTACAGGATACGGAACATTTGGTCTTGGTTGATATTGAGAGCGGGAATGTATAGGTTGGGAGGGAGAGGGAAGGTACAGATGGGTGATTGAGAGTTATCTTGCGATCGCTTGCGAGTTTTCCCTTCGCGGGTCTCCAGTGTTGGCGGAGGGGCTGGTGATTCTCTTGGTTAATATCTCGGGACTTGCTACTCCCTCCTATGTGGATATCTGGAATCATTTGGGCTGGCAATACATTTACCCTTACCCATTGTCTGGTGGTGAACCGGTTGGATTGACATCTGGCAACTGGGAAGTCACTGCGATTTGCTCAATCGACATCACGCGCGGTCTAGCCAGTTACCAATCTACCGATCGTGATTCCACTACACACCACATCTCTACTGTGAGTCGAGATGGCATGGCCAAAAGTCCTCTCGTAGATATCCCCAAGGAAGGGCACCACAGTGCCAGATTATCCCCCGGAGGAGGGTACTATATACTGAGCTATAATGGACCAAACCTACCATGGCAAGTACTTCGTAGCTTAGGCTCCGATACGCCCGTCCGGGTGATAAACGACAAGGCCTCCCTCAAGGGCAACCTCTCCGCATATTCTCCGCCCAAAATCTCTCGGCCGATGCTCAAGCACCCAGATGGATATGAGCTCAACTTTTTGGAGCGCCTACCGCCAAATTTTCGTAAGTGGAAAAAAATATGCTGTACTATTTGATATATATGGTGGCCCAGGCTCGCAGCTCACCGAGGGAACCTTCCGCCGGACGGTTGACTGTAATGCGTACTTAGGATCGGATCCCGAGTTGGAGTACATCGCTGTCACCATGGACAATCGCGGAACGGGTATAAGGGGCGGATATTCCGTACCGTGGTCTCCGGTCAGCTGGGAAAGTTGGAGGCGGAAGATCAAGTCTAGGCCGCTAGGGAGTGCGGAAAACGAGACTATGTTGATGTAGAGAAGATTTCTATTTAGGGGTCGAGTTACGCCGGATACCTCACTGGTAAAGTTCTCGAATTGGATTCCGGAGCATTCTCTTTAGGCATTGTATATCCTTTACCCATTCCTCTACTCCACGCGCTCCCGACCTAGCCGCTAAAGCAGAATAGGTGACTGCTCCACTAACAGACTGGCATTTCTATGATAGCATCTACACTGAACGCTACATTAAATCCCCAACCACCAACAGGGTGGGCTACAATGCCTCTGCAATAACCAAGACATCGGGGTTCAAGAATGTTGCGGGAGGTTTCCGCATCCATCACGAGACCGCTGACGGCAATGTGCATTTCCAGTACTCAGCTGTTCTTGTCGACACAGTGGTTTACGAGGGCGTGGGTCCTGAGAAGATGCGAGTGCAATGGTTCACTGACTCGGATCATAACATTGTTTATAATCCGGCCGGGAGCGTTTTACAGAAGCAGTTGGCCAAAATGCTTTATGATGGGAAGAGGACGCCCGAGGGCAAGCACCAGTGGAGTCGCAGGAAGGTTTAGGGGGCATCAACTTTATAGACCCCTGTTATTTTAAGAGCAAGCGGAATCCGGGTGAGGCCTAGTTAGTATCTCTTGTCTAGTAATTTTAGGTAGCGCGGGCCTGTCGGAAGGCGAATTGGCTGAATAGAACAAGAGGGTAGCCCGACTTGTACGAGAGGTTTTGTTATTGAGGAGTGGGACATTTTAACTGCTAACATTGAGGCTTCATTCGAGCGGGCGAAAGTGACAAAAGAACACACGGAGAACACCCATAGAAAGCCATCCAACTAAGACAAGAAAAACAATACAAATGTCAAGTATCTTGCCCAACTAGAGAGCACAAACAGAAGAAGAAGAAAACAATCAACAAACGGAGAAAAGTCAAAGCGCTAGTCCACTCCTCCAAGTTACAGCCACTCGTCAGAAGTGTTCGTGAAAGGTGCTGTATTAGTAAGCTGCCTCGCCAAAATCACAGTTCAACAACTACCTACCTACAACAATAAAGCTACCTACCTGCAACAATGAGGATATCCACCAGTGATAGTGAAGATCCTACAACTGTGAAGTTATTCCTATAGAGATCTATGCTGCTCTTATTTTTTAAATTCTTTTTAACTATAATTAGTTGAACATGAAATATAAAGCCCTTGGTATTCAAATAAACTAAAAGAAGACTAAACACATTATGAAAAGAGATGATTAATACTAAGAAGTTATACAAATTATTAGCTAGCATGTCTACTT